CTGTCAAGTTGTCTCATGTCATCGATATTCAGTCTTTATTTTAGTCTTTTTTTGCCTCACACTTTAAATGGTTTCTATTGTTATTCAAGTTCTCATCTTTTCTTCTGCACAGTCTAATCTTCTCTTAATATTGTTCAAGATATTTTCATTTTATATACATTTCATTTCATCTCTAGAAGTTTCATTTGGGTCTTTTAATATCTTTCCTTTCTCTTCTCACCATGTTCATGCCTTCCTCTACATTCTTAAAAAATGGAAGACATTTATCCATTTTAATGTCCTTGTCTGCTAATTCGATCATCATTGTCATTTCTGGGCCTGATTTTATTGTTTGATTGTTCTCCTGACTGAGAGTCGTATTTTCCTGCTGCTTTGCTTGGCTAGTAATCTTTTTTTTTTTTTTTTTTTTGAGCACGGAGTCTTGCTCTGCCGCCCAGGCTGGAGTGCAGTGGCTGGATCTCAGCTCACTGCAAGCTCCGCCTCCCGGGTTCACGCCATTCTCCTGCCTCAGCCTCCCGAGTAGCTGGGACTACAGGTACTCGCCACCTCGCCCGGCTAGTTTTTTTTGTATTTTTTAGTAGAGACGGGGTTTCACCGTGTTAGCCAGGATGGTCTCGATCTCCTGACCTCATGATCTGCCCGTCTCAGCCTCCCAAAGTGCTGGGATTACAGGCTTGAGCCACCGCGCCCGGCCATCTTTTACTTTTTAATGGGCTTTATTTTTTAGGACACTTTTAGATTTTTTAATTTTACAGAAAAACTGAGAGGATAGTATAGAGTTTTTTATATGCCCCATCCTCAGTTTTCCTTATTATTAACATCTTAGATTTAACATTTTTAACAATGAACCAAAATTGATACATTATTAACTAAAATCCACAGTTCCTTTAGATTTTCTTAGTTTTTACCTAAGTCATTTTTCTGTTTCAGGTTCCCATCTAAGATGCCACATTACACTAAGTTGTCATTTTCTTTAGGCTCCCCTTGGCTGTGACAGTTTCTCAAACTTGCCTTATTTTTTATGACTTAGACAGTTTGGAGGAGTACTGGTCATATATTTTGTAAGGATGCTGCACTATTGCAATTTGTGTGATGTTTTCCTCATAAAATTTGGGTTATGAGTTGGGAGAGGAAGACAGTAGCGTTAAAGTGCCATTGTCATCACGTCATATTAAGTGTTCATACTGTCAACATGATTTATGACTATTGATGTTGGCTTTCATCACCTGGCTGAGAAAGTGTCAGGTTTCTCTACTATACTCTTTTTTCCTCCTTCTACACTTGTATGCTTTGGAAGGCAGTCATTGTGCACAGCCCACGCTTAAGGAGTGGGTAGTTATGCTCCCTCTCCCTGAGGGTAGAGTGTTAATGTAAATTATTTGAAATTTTGCTGCCCGGAGATTTGTCTCTTCTGGTTGGTAATTTTTTACTGGATGCCAAATACAATGAATTTCATATTGTTCATACTGATGAATTCATATTGGTGAATTTTATATTTGCTGGATTTTGTTGTAGTTCTTTCAGTTCTATTGAATTTAACTCTGGCATGCAGTTAACATTGTATGAAATCATTTGTTCCTTTTGAGGCTTAAATAAAGCCTTGTTAGAGTGGTTCAAGAACAGCCTTTAATCTAGCGCTTAGTCCATTTTCTAAAGTAATATACCCTTCTGATTACTCTACCTGATGTTGACATATTATGACATTTTTCCATTCTGGTTGGCAAGATTGAAAATTATTCCCAGCCTTGTGTGAGCTGCAGAAATTGTTCGGTCTACTGATTTCTGGAGATTCTTTCTCTGGCCTTGACGAGTTTCACTACATGCATGTGCAGATCAGTACTCAGCCACAGCCTTGAGAGAATCCCTTTGTAAATGTTCAAAAGTTTCTGTGAAGTTCCCTCCTCTGTGTTACTCTGCTCAGCAAACTGTAGCGCCTTAGTATGATACAGAGTTTTTCTTCCTGTATACTTTGCTCTGTAAAGCCAAACTTCACTTCTAGCAATCTTTTAAAGTGCAAACTGATTTTTAAATTTTTGGTATAATTTTACATCAAGAAAACCAAATGAGATTTATTTAATACATGACTGTTAATAATGTATTATTTATCTATATACTCTCCCTCTATACAGAGTGGGTAATTGTTTTTCTATGGTAACTGTGGTCAGACCTTTGTAAAATATATTCCATACTTTTTATTTCTAAGTCTTTGCTTATCTTGTAGATCCATGTATTCTCCTTTTCTACCAGGCTTATAAATTAGGCTGTTGCTTTAGAGCAGGAGCTGGCACTTTTTCTGTAAAGGTTTGAAGAGTAAATATTTTAGGCTTTGCAGGTGTATGGTCTTTGTTGCAACTACTTAACTCTGCTTTTGTAGTGAAAAAGAAGCTACAGACAACATATAAATGAATGGTCATAAATGTACTCCAATAAAACTTTACTTACAAAGTAGGCAGTGGGCCAGATTTGACCTGTTGGTTGTAGTCGGCCTATTCTAGCTTAGGGAATTATTCAATTTAAAATATTTGCATGAACAAATGCCCAAACAATGTGGAGTGAACAATACGGGAAAAAAGCATTCTAGGACAAGGGAAGAAACTGTAAGGACCCTGAAGTAGGAATGAACTTCATTATATTCAAGGAACTGCCAAAAGGCAAGGGTGGATGAATCAAAGTAAATGAGGGAGAGTGTGGTAGGAGATGTAGTAGAGAGGTAGGTAAATCATGTGGCTCTTTTTTCCTCTGTAAGGACTCTGGATTTTATCTCAGATGTGGTGGTAGACATACAAGTATGTTGAGCAGGAAAATGGCATGATCTCATTCATGATATGTATAGAATAGGGTGCAGATGGGCAAGAGGGGAAACAGAAGAGTAAAAAGCTATTGCAGTAGTTCCAGGCCAGTGATATTTCTGGAAGTAGTCAGAAGTGTTTAGGCACAAGGTATATTTTGAAGGTGGAGCTGACAGAACTTTTTGTTATACGCATACAGCATGAGAAGGAAAGAGAGGACAAAAAGCTGACTCATAGGAATATTCAGAGCCAATGCAGGCTGAACTAGCTAGAGGTGTGTCAGAGGCTTAGCAAAGAGAGCAGACTGGGATTCCAAAAGGTTGCTAAAAAGTCTTTATGATACCTCCAAAGAAAACCTAGTCCTCACATCAGAAAGATTAACAACCCAAAGTGAATGGGGATATGTAAGCAGATAGGGATTTAGCCTATATGGAAAAATTTAAGATTCTTAATTCTTCAAAGCCTCTTGTCGGAAAGAGAAGTCCTTGGGATGATGGAAAAGACTCAGGTTTTTCTGAGAAGATAGAGTTAGACTAGAGTTCATGACTAGCCTGGCCAACGTGGTGAAATCCTGTCTCTACTAAAATTACAAAAAAATCACCTGAGTGTGGTGGTGCATGCCTGTAATCCTAGCTACTCGGGAGGCTGAAGCAGGAGAATTGCTTAAATCCAGGAGGCGGAGGTTGCAGTGAGCCAAGGTTGTGCAACTGCACTCCAGCCTGGGGGACAGAGCAAGACTCTATCTCAAAAAATAAAAAAAAAATAAAAAGAGAGAGAGAGAGAGAGAAAAACTAGATTGATTTTGCTTCCAAGGATAAATAAATCCAATAACAACAAATGCATGAATGCATACATATATGTATCTGCGTCCATGGTATGAACACACACAGATATTATGTCTTCTTTATCAAATTTCATGCCAAGGTCCAATGATCTCACATCTGGAATTTGTGTCATCCTCTTACTGGTCAGCTTTCAACCTCTCTTCATTTAGCCTAGATATTCTTTTTTATGCTGCTGCCCTTTGAATTGTCTAAATCAATGCTTGTAAAATTATCTGTGATGAAGGGCCAATTTTAAAAGTCTCAATGTGTCATGGACTGATACTTTTGTAGAATACAATATAAATTACTCAAAAAAGTAAAATAAAAAAGGGAAAGATTACAAAGTACAAGCCCAATTTTGTAATTATTAGATTCAACTGACATACAATTACTGTCAATTTATTATGAAGATTTCTAAAAGTTTACTCCTAATTTCTATATATCTTTGTCCCAGACTGTTAACCACATGGTATGTGGACCATGTTATGAGTAGCAATGATATAAACCACTCCAGATCTCAAAAATCTCATCATCTGTTAAACAAACATAAACCTCTCACTATTGTCCTCTAAACTCTGTACCAATTAGTTCAGTCTTGCCTGTGTCTAACAGGCAAGCTCTTGTGTTCTTTTCCACACAAGGGACTGTTTTTAATCCATTTATTTCTTTCCCTCTGTTTATTCAAAACATCCTAAATACATCGCATATATATCACAAACGAATACTTAGCTTCCTCAGAAAGCTTTTCTAGAACATCCTTACCTAATGTTTACCCCTTTGGCATTTGTATTTTCTTATATTTATTAGTACAGGTTTATATTATTTGTATTGTTTCCTTTAGTAGAGCATAAATTACTTCAGAGTAAACCCGGATTTTTACACTAAATATAAAAATGTCTAGAATATAGTAACATGGATACCCAAACAATAAAAAGCATGTAAGTGGCCAAGTGCGGTGGCTCATGTCTGTAATCTCAGTCCTTTGGGAGGCCGAGGCAGGCGGGTTACTTGAGGCCAGGAGTTCGAGGCCAGTCTGGCCAACATGGTGAAACCCTATCTCTACTAAAAAATTAAAAAGGTTAGCCAGGTGTGGGGGTGCACACCTGTAATCCTGGCTACTTGGGGGGCTGAGGCATGAGAATTTCTTGAACCTAAGAAGTGGAGGTTGCAGTGAGCTGAGATCGCACCGCTGCACTCCAGCATGGGCAACAGAGTGTCTGTCTCAAAAAAAAAAAAAAAAAGCATGTAAGTAATTGTTTGCCTGTCTAAGAGTCTATGTGTATGGGGAGATAAAGTACTGTTGAATATGAAACACTATCTTTCACTATGGGAATTTGTGTTTACCCCCTTTTCTCCCATGCTCTGCTTTCTTTTATTTTCTTACTAGGCCTATCTCCACTAACTCTGGACCCTAAAACAGCTCACCCAAATCTGGTGCTCTCCAAAAACCAAACCAGCGTCTGGCATGGTGACATTAAGAAGGTAATGCCTGATGATCCAGAGAGGTTTGACTCAAGTGTGGCTGTGCTGGGCTCAAGAGGCTTCACCTCTGGAAAGTGGTACTGGGAAGTAGAAGTAGCAAAGAAGACAAAATGGACAGTTGGAGTCGTCAGAGAATCCATCATTCGGAAAGGCAGCTGTCCTCTAACTCCTGAGCAAGGATTCTGGCTTTTAAGACTAAGGAACCAAACTGATCTAAAGGCTCTGGATTTGCCTTCTTGCAGTCTGACACTGACTAACAACCTCGACAAAGTGGGCATATACCTGGATTATGAAGGAGGGCAGGTGTCCTTCTACAATGCTAAAACCATGACTCACATTTATACCTTCAGTAACACTTTCATAGAGAAACTTTATCCCTACTTCTGCCCCTGCCTTAATGATGGTGGAGAGAATAAAGAACCATTGCACATCTTACATCCACAGTAATGAGTCATACTATTATACAAATTCAGAGTGTTATTAAAGAGGTATTGAAATATTTTACCAGTCTCACTGTCTCACTGGATTCTCTTCTCAATTTACGGGGAACGATGGAATAATGAAAAGAGGATGCACAAATCAAATTCCATTCTTTCAGTATCCTAAATGGATTTCACTGGAGCCTTTCAAGATATGATTCTTCTCTGGGGTCTTTCGTGACACAGGAGCCACTCTCATGAGAGTGATCATCATGCTACTGTTACTGGAGCAAACTGCAACTTGAGTTTGCGATGTTTGGGAACCCTTTTCAAATATGCCCAGAAATTATCATGCTGTCATATTTTCCAGCATAATGACCCTTAGCAGATGAATTTTCAGTAGTTCACTCTTCTTACTATTTAATTATTTTTCGATATACATTTTCATCTTATTTCTTTTTTTAGAACTTACTGCTGTAATTTTATTTTATTTTATTTTTTTGAGACAGAGTCTTGCTGTGTTGCCTAGGCTGGAGTGCAGTGGCATGATCATGGCTCACTGTAGCCTCAACCTCCTGGGCTCAAGCAATCCTCCTACCTCAGACCCTGAGTAGCTGGGACAATAGGTGCACACCACCACAAGTAGAGATGGGGTTTCACCATGTTGCCCAGGCTTTTCTGGAACTCTTGGGCTTAAGAGATCCTCATGCCTCAGCCTTCCAAAGTGTTGGAATTATAAGTGTGAGCTACCATGCCTGTCCTGTAATTTTAAACCATGCTCCACAGGCTTAAATAAAAAAGTAGGAAATGATCTGGACTAGTTTATAATCTTGCCTTGAATTCTCTCAAGATATATTTTAGTCCAGCAAATCTGTGATTCTTTCCCTTCCTTTCTCAGTTCCATTTCTCTGCTTTATCTATCTGCAGGAGACATGCATATATATGCAGTCTGAGAGATGGGGTCTCATTATGTTGCCTAGGCTAGTCTTGAATTCCTGACCTCAAGCATCCTTCCACCTTGATCTCCCAAAGTTCTAGGATTACAGATGTGAGCCACCACACCCCACCTCCATCTACTTTTGACTACATCCTTTTTCATCATTCCTGCCTATAATTTAAGTAGTATTTTGCATCTTGTTCTCTCCAACATACTCATCCTTGAGCTTGTTCCAAGTCTAAAATTCTCAACATCATTGATCTCAGCAGTACTCTTGATTGATTGTCCCTATTTCCTTTCTTTGGAAGTCCTCATCTAAATGGGCTTTATTCTCGATAGCTGACAGTTTTGGGGGGACTTTTTAGGACCTTCAGCATTGGTCCTCTAAAATTATAATTAGCACAGTTTTTGGTTTTTTTGGGGGGTCAGGGCAAAAACTTAAATGTGTGTATGTGAAAAATAATGCAAATGCTACGGGCAATATTCATGTAGTTTGTTATATACAATATGCATACATTTACAACTGATTTGGATACACAGCCATAACAGGATTAAGACTACATTTAAGAAATTGTCTTTTTTTTTTTTATGATTTCACTTCAATCAGAACATAGTAAGAACATGTTTTGTGCCTGGAATCTTGCTTAATGTCTTAAAGGGTATAAAAGCAGCATAAAAAGAACGGCATGCCAATAGAAAGTAATCTGACTAAAAATTTACTTCTAAGGTATAAAAAGTTACAGCTGAAATATATTATTATTATTTTTTAAGACAAGGTCTTACTCTGTCACCCAGGCTGGAGTACAGTGGCACGAACATGGCTCATTGCAGCCTGGGACTCTTGGGTCCTCCCACCTCAGCCTCTCAAGTAGCTAGGATTATAGGCGCAGGCAACTACGCCCAACTAAATTTTTCTTTTTAGTCGAGACGAGGTCTCGCTATGTTGCCCAGGTTTGAAATATATTATTCTTAAGATGCAATGGTTCTTAACTCTGAATACACATTAGGTTCATGGAGGAAGCTTTAAAAAAATTTAGATGCCTGGACTCCAGCCAAGACCAATCAAGTAAAGATCTCCAGCAAGTGAAACCCTGCTAGAGTCCCCGTGTACAGTGGCTACAGGCCACTAATTTCTAAAAGCTCTCAGGCGATTCTAATGTGTGGCTGGGGCAGACAGCCACTGAACTAAAGCAACATGTTTTATTTATGTATTTATTTTTACTTAAAAAATTTTTTTCTACAAGTTATTGGGGTAAAGGTGGTATCTGGTTACATGAGTAAGTTCTTTGGTGGTGATTTGTGAGATTTTGGTGCACCCATCACCTGAGCAGTGTACACTGCATCGTATTTGTAGTCTTTTATCCCTCGCCCCCCTCCTACTCTTCCCTCCAAGTCCCCAAAGTCCATTGTATCATTCTTATGCCTTTGCATCCTCATAGCTTAGCTTGCACATATCAGTGAGGACATACAATGTTTGGTTTTCCATTCCTGAGTTACTTCACTTAGAATAACAGTCTACAATCTCATCGAGGTCACTGCAAATGCCGTTAATTCATTCCTTTTTGTGGCTGAGTAGTATTCCAGTGTATAAACATACCACAGTTTCTTTATCCACTCTTTGATTGATGGGCATTTGGGTTGGTTCCATGATTTTGCAATTGTGAATTGTACTGCTATAAACAAGCATGTGAAAGTATCTTTTTCATATAATGATTTCTTTCCCTCTGGGTAGATACCCAGTAGTAGGACTGCTCAATCAAGTAGTTCTACTTTTAGTTCTTTAAGGAATCGCCACACTGTTTTCCACAGTGGTAGTACTAGTTTACATTCCCACCAGCAGTGTAGAAGTGTTCCCTGTTCACTGCATCCATGCCAACATCTACAGTTTTTTGATGTTTTTGAGTATGGTCATTCTTGCAGGAGTAAGGTGGTATCGCATTGTGGTTTTGATTTGCATTTCTCTGACCATTAGTGATGTTGAGCATTTTTTCATATGTTTGTTGTCATTTGTATATCTTCTTTTGAGAATTGTCTATTCATGTTCTTAACCCACTTTTTGATGGGAGTTTGTTTTTTTTTTCTTACTGATTTGTTTCAGTTTGTTGTAGATTCTGGATATTAGTCCTTTGTCAGATGTATAGATTGTGAAAATTTTCTCCCACTCTCTGGGTTGTCTGTTTACTCTGCTGACTGTTACTTTTGCTGTGCAAAAGCTCTTTAGTTTAATTAAGTCCCAATTATTTATCTTTGCTTTTATTGCATTTGCTTTTGGGTTATTGGTCATGAAATTTTTGCCTAAGCCAATGTCTAGAAGGGTTTTTGCAATGTTATCTTCTAGGATTTTTATGGTTTCAGGTCTTAGATTTAAGTCCTTAATCCATCTTGGTTGATTTTTTTTATAAGGTGAGAGATGAGGATTCATTCTTCTACACGTAGCTAGCCAATTATCCCAGCACCATTTGTTGAAAAGGGTGTCCTTTTCTCCACTTTATGTTTTTGTTTGCTTTGTCAAAGATCAGTTGGCTATAAGTATTTGGGTTTATTTCTGGGTTCTCTATTCTGTTCCATTGGTCTATGTGTCTTTTTTTTTTTTTTTTTTTTTTTTGAGATGGAGTCTCTCTCTGTCTCCCAGCCTGGAGTGCAGTGACGCAATATTGGCTTGCGGCAAGCTCCACCTCCCGGGTTCATGCCATTCTCCTGCCTCAGCCTCCCGAGTAGCTGTGACTACAGGTGCCCGCCACCACGCCTGGCTATTTTTTTTTGTTTTTAGTAGAGATGGGGTTTCACCGTGTTAGCCAGGATGGTCTTGCTCTCCCGATCTTGTGATCCACCTGCCTCGGCCTCCCAAAGTGCTGGGATTACAAGCATGAGCCACCGTGCCCGGCCTTCACAAATAATTTTAAAACTATTAACATTTCACTCTTGTCATCATGTGCAGGAGAGCAACTAGTCCTCAGTGGAATACAAATTGTTTCTAGCTGAAGTTTTCTTTTCCTGACATCATGCTTGTTCCCGCACATCCATGATATCCAATCAGGGTATCTCAAACAACATTGCGCCTGGCAATGGAACTCACTTCAGAGTAAAAGAAAGCAGGTAATGACTAATACCAATGGAATTTACCAGGCTTACTATTACTTAATTAACCAGAAGGAATTAGCCTCACAGACCATACAAAATATTTGCTTTCTCCTTCAGATCATGAAAGTATTAGACTAAAAATCATTTCTAAAATGTAACTCCTCCATTTCTGACCTGGATAAGATGGCAGATTCTTGCCCTCTCTAGTCCTCTCCACAATGCACAATAATAAACATTGCAAAAATAACTCAAGAGACAATGAAAGGGGGAACTCTGAGAGGTAGAAGACGAGGGTGCATCAGTTTGAGATCCCAGGACTGGAGAAGCGACACAGTGTCAGGGTATCTATCCTATGTCCTTCCAACCTACAAAAGAGGTGATCCAGGTCCAGCATTTTCTGATATGAGCCTAGCAACAGAAGGCAGCCCAGGTAAGCTAAGGTCTCCCCAACATTGCATAGGAGTCCACCTATACCACCACCTGAGCCCAGCAAATAGGGTGGATCAGAAGCCCACTTATATATAAGGGGCTAGGGAAGCTTTCTTCTTCTTCTCTGATGGGCCTGAGACTCCCCTCCTCCTTCACCCAGAGACACCATGCAGTCGGAAGGCACCAGAAAGGGAAACACACCAAAAGAAGAGAGCATCAGGACTAACTGAATTTGTTTTGCAGACAATAATGAAAAAGAAAATCCAAAAAGAAATAATTTTTTTGAAAGCATTTACTTTGCAATCGGACACAAGAAGGTCCTGTAGGCATGGACCAAGTCTACACAGCCATAACTCATGGCCTAGAGAGCCCCTGGAATGTACAGCTACAGACAGCTACAGATACCCATATCCTTGCCCCTAGGGATGTCAGGAAAGAGGGTGTCATCTGTCAGACTGTGTGTGACCATGACTCAGGATTAATTCCCTTCAATCCCTTCAGAGACAAAATGAAATGAGGGATAAGTCATCCCTGACTTTGTTTAAAATACAGCACCCTATATAGGTTTTACAAACAGCTTATTTTTTACGGCCTTTTTCTGTTATTTCATTTTTAAGAAACCCACCACTCACCTATTC